ACAGGAAGGCCTGGCGCAATATGGTTCATGGGGTCACGAAGAGTCGGACACGACTTAACGACTAAACAACAACAATACAAATCCAGTCTAACAAGAAGAGGAAATCTGAAAAGAATATCCCAGTTCTAGAAAGAACATCCAGAATCAGAAATAACAACAGATCATCTATTTATAATACAAATGAAGAATTCACAGAAGTAGAATTGGAAGAACTACAAAGGTCTTCCCAGGGCAAAGAAATCAAAGAATGCAGCTTGGATAAAGGAGATGGATCAGAATAAAAAAAACTGAAATAAAAGAACTTGTAATAGCAGCAGAAATGGAGAAAAGGGCAAGGAAGAATTGGTCAGGGCCAGGTGAAGATGAACTGCATGGTTTTTGGTTGAAATAACTGACCAGTATGCACCCACCCATTACGGAGCAGTTTAACAACAGACTGCAAGGAGGTGAACTCGAAGATTAGTTAACATCTGTTACAAGTACATCAGGCAGTTGAAGAAGAAAAAAGAGCATTAGAAAAATATCTGAAGGACACTGAAGAAAATGCACTGAAGCTAGTACACCACGAAGGCTTAATGAATACCAAAGAAATCAAACTGGCCTACAAGAAAGATCAAGTGAAGAATAGAAAAAACATGTGAAGGCAAAGTATTAAATGGCCAGTGCACAAAAAAACTAGCAGGCAAAGCAGATAACAACAAGATCTGGCAATGGCTAACAGCAGGAAAGTTGCAGAAAGAGACAGAGGGGCTAATTCTGGCTGTTCGAGACCAAGCCTTAAGAATAAATGCATAAAATACCAGAACTGACAAGGCAGCAACAGGCAGCAAATTCTGTCTCTGCAAAGAAGCTTCAGAAAGAGTGGGCCATCTAGTTAGCTGCTACAAGAAGACTGCACAGACTGACTACAAACAACAGCATGACAAAGTAGCAACAATGGTACATTGGAATATCTGCAAGAAATACCATTTGCCTGCAAACAAGAACTGGTGGGACCATAAAACAGACAAAGTAATAGAAAATGAAG